GGCTGGCGGGGACTTGCGAAGCGTAAGCAATTTCGCTGGATCCGAGCTCCCGGCGCCAGCATCTCTTGTAAATAATATTGCGTCCGCGCTCCCAGGGCCACGACCCCTCGCAAATTACAATGAGTTTCGGATTCAAGGGCCACTGCCGCTGCCGCTACCACTACTGAACCGACCGTCCGGAAGGACGCGTGGGCAAAAGAGCGCGCAATCGGCAGGTCGTCGTTGCAGAACGACTGCGTGCACACAGAGGCCCGACTACGAAACGGAAGCGGAGCGCATCACGACTGTGAAGCAGAACAACGGAGCGCATCACGACTGTGACGCATAAAGAAGGAAGCGCCCCACGAGTGTGACGCAGAAAACAAAGTGCATCACGACATCGGAGTTCAGGAGGGAACAGGAGGGGGGGAAGAAGAGGAAAGAGGGAAGGAGGGAATGATGCTCCGTTGTGATTCGTGCTGAGACAGCTTGCACACCTGACTCACCCACTGCTGGCGGGGGCGGCCCCTGGTTCGGCGCCCGGCCCATATATTGAGAGGCCCATCGTCGTTACACACGGCGGGTTTGACAAGCGACGGGCAGCCATAACCATTGATTTATTGGCACAAAAACAATACGCCTGGCGAGCACAATCTTCGACAGCGGCTGGGTAGATGCCTTTTGCAGCACCACTGCGTTGCTAACCCAGGAGACGGAAGATAGAGGAATCCCACGGCGTACGCATTTGCAGTGGAAGGCGTATAAGCGCGCACGGTCTCCCCTCAGAAGCAAAAAAACTCTAAAGAATACAAGAGCTGGTTCAAAACGCATATTTTATGTATGACGCATGTTCGCGTCTGCCCAATTGATGTCCGAGAACATATCTGGCGCAACTGCTCGAAGATACGGCTCGCTTCAACAAGTCGCCTGCGCAATTAAATTTACACTTTCCCATCGCGCGAAATGAGACAACGCAAACACATAGCTCCCATGATTGCCTTAATGTGCTTACCGCTTGATGTTGGTATCGTCTGGTCTGTGGACGCTTGTATTTGCACCGTCCTTTCCCATTTGGATTCCAACCAATCCTTCCTGCCTTCATCCACTTTTGCTCCCAGCATATGTTGTAAGTCCGAACGAAGTTGGGACGCCAACACAGCATCATCGGCATACAAAATATCAGGTGCGATCAAAAATTCTAGCTTTGGTAGCAATTCAACAATACCACATACATTATACAGCATTACACTTCGAACGATGATGAAAAGTACGACGACAGCGGGCAGCCATAGGCGATAGCTGCGCCTTTTTCAGTCGTTCGGAAGAGCGGCCGGCATGATCTATGATGGGAAAAATCACACCATATTTCGAGCGCACCACTTCCACAATGCCACTGGGAAGGCCGAAGAGTTCCAGCGCTTCACAAACACAATCTGGTTTTAACCGACCGAAGGGCACCACCCAATCCAGCACAAGTGGAATCAAACCTCCACTGTCGTGCAAATGGGACGCATCGATCACCTGGCGCGTTAACATGAGTATGTCCCCCTGCTTCGCGTTTCTGCCCCTCCTCGAACCGGTGTTTAGTATCGTCGCCAGTACCTTTCCCCAACCAGCAATAAAGATATCGTTTCGCATTTCGCATGCAAAGCGGTATCACCTTTCCTGAGTAACAATGCAACATTTGCTGTCTTCCAAGACTCAGTGATTGTTTTGTGCGCCATTGCTGGCATATGTTGAACAGGATGTCGCCTGCACCTTCATCGGAAACAAGATTCTTCCAAAAGTCAAGAGGTACGTCGTCAGGTCCAGGTGCCTTTCCCTTTTCTAGTTTGCGAATCACGTTTTTGAACTCCTTGATGGTGAATGCCCCCATGTCGATAGGAAGTGTGTCGCCAAGGGTTCTTCTGTAGTTTGGGCGGTGATGGGGAAACTTGTATTCCCACTCTGTGGATTCAAAACAACCTGCAGTATACCCCATATTTCGGACGTGTCTGATGCGGTGACATCTGGGCGCTGTATGCTTGCGCCCGTAAAGACCGCACTGCGTCCGAACCACCACTCGTCTCAATATTGTTTAGCCATGTTTCCTGTTGTTGTTCCCCTGATTCTCGCTTTTTATTTGTAGTCGCCACTCTTTGTCATGGTCCCCCCGCCGTCAGTAACCCGAACGTTGTTGAATCAAGTCTAATGTCATTTGGCTGGTCCAGGGCAGTTTGGCTTCAATGTCTCGGGCCGGCAAGGTGGCAGGAGCACGGGTGAAAGCATGCTGCAAATTTTCGGTTTCAGCGTCCAAGTCCTCCATGTACGGCTTTCCCATCGCGGCTTGAAGTAATTCTCAAACGAATGTGCCCTCCTTCAGCGACGTTTTGTCGATGCGCCGTTGGCGTTGACGATGCCTTTGTTGGTTTTCGAACTCGGTGTTGTTTCTTACCATCTTGAGAAAATCACGGATGTTCAATGAAACTTCCCGCGCATTCCAACAATCCTGGATCGTAGACAATATGGGTTGGTGGCATAATACATGATCCATATGCGAAAACCTTGCTGTAGACATGTCGGGGTCCATGGGGCTGATGCCATTGTTCATGTGATCTTCATCCAATCTGGACGGTCGAACTACATGTTTCCATCAGCTGCTGTCTGCTTGATGTTGTTTCCCCCTGACTTCTGGTAGGGTCCTGATCAACATCCTGTGGAGTATCGAATACATGGTGCCCGATAGTATTGTCCTCCCCCGGTCCACACGGAAAAGCTGCGCGTTGAAGTCGCCGACCGAAGATATGTGGCACTGTGCATCGTTGTCGCACGGATTGCAAATTGCAGCTTCCTTTGAAAATCTTGCCGTACATCGTACTTGAACACCGAGTGCGGCCCGTACGCGCTGATGAACTTCAACTCCACTCCACAGATTTTGACCAGTAGCGAGGCTGTCCAGTCGTCGCAGGCTTTAAAAGTGATCACAAAGTTCAACACTGTAGGTCCAACCAAGAAACTAACTCCAGCGTACGTGCGGTGTTTCACATCAAGACTGCCAAAAAGGAATAGCTTATAACCATGTTTATTGTTATACTCGGCTCCATGGGCAAGTTCATGCGCCTCTTGAATGGATAAAATATCACTGTTGTTGCAGCCCATCATGTGCAGGAGTTCTTCCAGCTTGACCAACGAGTCGCCGCGCAAGCCTCAAACGTTCCGCGTCGCCACACGTCGGCCGCGACCTGGCAAGCAATGTCGACAATGTCGGTGCCATGTGGAAGAAGATGGACAAAATATAGGAAGAAGACGGGCGGCTGCTGGTAGTACGTAAGGTGATGTGGCAATCCCAGAAGGCGGTGAAACTTCCACCGATGGCTGCAGAAGGGAATATTTGCCCACGCTCGTACTACCAGCATACGGTGGGTCGTTGATGGAGCCAATTTGAACACCTGAAAAAAAAGAACTTGATGAGGCATTCCCAGAACGCCCATGTGTTCCAAGTGCTGTTGGTTGGCTGTGGCACTGGGTGCGAAAAAGCTTGGGTCCAAGATCGAATCCAGCGCCCGCCGTATTTTCGCTGCGAATCCCAGGGCCACGATCCTTGTAACTTACGCTGCGTCCGCGCTCCAAGGGCCACGATCCCTGGTAGACTGCGCTTCGGCCGGTCCCTTGTGAGTTACGCTGCCTCTGCGCCACAGGGCCAGTCCCGAGTGAATTGCGCTGCGCCCGCGCTGCGAGGGCCCCGGTCCCTGGTGAATTGCGCTGCGCCCGCGCTCCCAGGGCCACGACCCATTTGAGAATTACGCTGCGTCCACGCCCTCAGGGCCGCTGCATCCGCGCTCCAAAGGACACGATCCCTCATGAATTGCGCTGGGTCCGCGCTCCCAGCGCCACGATCCTGGGAAACTCTGCCAGGGTCACGATCTCGTCCAAACTGCGCAGGGTCCGCGCTCCCAGAGCTTCCTGGGGTGCCCAGGGACTTCCGCACAACATCATGTTTCTAATTTTCTGAAGCACCGAAACACCTTTCGGCACACCCCTCACGAAGATTCTACGAAAACGATCGGCACCCTCGTTCTTAGCTGGCAATGCAAGGGTCTGCGGTCCTATTGATTTTTGAGAATCCGAAATGGGGGTGCATCTGCCTCGAGCGGGGCACGCTTCGAGACTTGACTTTACATTTTTGTTTAGAGAAATACGCTTCCCGAGCATGGCACCGGGAGACAAGCTTACAGACTAACCGCAAACCCTGAGCCTGAGCCCCTTCCGGGAAAAGACCAACGGCGCAGAACAAAGTCACTCACGAGACAGCTGTATACCCAGGATGGGTTGAGGGTTGCTCTGGGCAGGATCGGACTGGGTGGAAAGTTAGCGTAACCCGATGGTAAGGCTTCGGGCTGCGCACAGACAGCCCCCTCCCCCAGGTAATGCTGCTTGGCATCGACAGGCCCTCCGAGCAGTTCCAGCTGGCCCCAACAGTGAAGGGGCCCCAGGACACACAAATAAATACTCACAAATAAAAATATTCCCCACATTTTCCCATATTTTCTGGGGTTCTGTCTTCCCCCCCACTTCCCATAGTTTCCCATATTTTCTGGGGAATCGAAGATTAATTGTGTCTGTGTGTTTCTTTTCCTCCTGAATCAGGCCCCCCGAGCAGCCCCGGGCGGTCCCAACACCCCAACGCCGGGGCACGGAGGGCCCCGGGGGGGGCGCCGCTGGAGGTGCCGCTGGGGCCCTGGACTGCTCGGGGGGCCTGCTGCGACCAGCTGGGACTACTCTCAAGGGGCCCTGGGACACGCAAATAAATGCACACAAATCACGAGAGTCCCCATATTGTCCCATATTTTCTGGGTTCCTGTCTTCCCACTTCCCATATTTCCCCGTATTTTCTGTGGAGTCGACGATTAATTGTGTCTGTGTGTTTTTTTTTCCTCCTGAGACTACTCGGGGGGCCTGCTGCGACCAGCTGGGACTACTCGGAGCGCCTGCTGAGGCCAGCTGGGACTGCCCGGGAGGGCTGTCTGTGCGGAGCCCGAAGCCTTAGCATAGCCCGACACCTGTCGCCCCGCTCCATCGCGATGCGGAGCTCCGGCGCGACCTCCAGCATGCGGCCGACCTCCGGCGCGACGCGGATCCGCCGGCGCCACTCGAGGTGGCAGCGCAGGCCTGCGGCGTGTGCGTTCTCGCACACCCCACTGCTTGTCGAAGCTGAGGTCTACTCGAGCAGGAGAAGCGCGTTCGCCGCCGAAGGCCAGAAAGTAGGCGCTCGACATTTGATCCATGCCCCCAACCCCACGAGGAACCATAGCGGGGGTATGGGTAGATTCCTGGCCTCCGAGGCCACTTTTTTATCAATGGCCTGCTTCCCCTGGCGCCCAGGGTGCGGCGAGCGTCGATCGTCGAGGACGGGGGGAAGAGCCTGGATGGGCCTGGGTCAAGTCGAGAGCAGATCAAGCGCAAACCCAACGGAAATGGCGCGCTCCACGAGTGCAAAATCCACTGCGTCCAGACTTGGCCTCCCACATGTCACGCGAGGGGGCGTAGTTGAGAACCCCACGGCCAGACAAACCAAGGGCACGTGAGTGACGAAACAAAAGCTTGTCTTACGAGAGATGGCATAGCGAGCTTACGCCGCGGTTTACGCGGGCCGCCAGCGCGGCACGCTGCTTTGGAGACGAGGGCACTTACGCGCGACCTTACGCAAGCAGCGCACGCGCCAACGTCGGTGAAGACGACTCCGTTTTTCTGCGTCGCTCACATGCCCAAGGCCTTATATGAAGCGCTGAACTGCTGCAACTTCTGCTGGGCTACCCTCTGCGGCTTCGGGCGGCGAGGCTTTCACTGGAATCATAAAAATGCATCCGACGTCATGATTGTTTCATCAAATGGGCCTCGGGCGTCCCGCAAAACTATTGACTACATCCCTCCTCGAAATCAAACGCTAGTTTTTCCCGCGACGTGGCGGCGCCCCAGGATCCCCGAATTTCAACGTTGGCGGCGACATTGGCGGCTACGAACACAAAATCTGACCTCGAGGGCTGCGTTTCACACGTCGATCACCATCAAAAACTTGCCTTTGATTTCGAGGGGGGTTGTAGACGCAGCGGCTGGAAAACGCCAGGGGCCAGCAAACCCCCGAGCCTCCCCCAAAAACCTCCGAACCTCAACCCACGAGCAAGAGAGCCCCAGGACGCTGGAGGGGTCTGGGATGCTCGATCTGGGTAGACGGGGTCGGGCCGCATCGCTGGGGCGTCGCTGGCGTGGAGAACATCGGGCTCCACGTCGAGCCGCATCGCCGATGCATCGGCGGTGCGGCGCGATCCCCCGCCCCCATCCACTCGAACCCCACCTGGCAGGCATAGAGTTGGAAAGTCCATGGTTCGCTGGGAACCAGCTTCCTTTCAAAACAGCCGAAGCCCTCCCGAAACCCTCCGGGAAGGGTTCCGGGAGGCTTTTTCGCAGGGTTTGGGGAGGGATTGGGGGGGGTTTTCGTCGTTTTGGGGGGAGTCCCTAGCGAACCCTGGGCTCTCTCAGCGTAGAGGGAAGCTTGGGCAGCTCAGTCCGCACCGCAGGCCCCCGGGCCCGAGGAGACGGCTCACCGACCGCCCCCCCGCAGACACGCGCGAGCCCCTCCGCATGACTGGCGCGCCGCGGCTCGGGCGAGGGCCAGCTGGGGCAGAGAGCAGCGGCGTGCGGGAGGCAGACCCCCACCCAGACACGTGTCCCGACCACACCTGCCCAAACTAGAAAAAGAAAAACGCCATAAACATAAACTGTTGGGGTTCCGCGCGGTTTTCTTGGATATGCGCTGGGCCCCCTCCCTGGTGCGCGTGGCGCGGCAGGGGCGGCGCCAAAGGCGCCGCCAAGGGGGCCCAGCGCGGATCCAAGAAATCCGCGCGGAGCGCCAAAAGTTCATGTTTTATGGGTTTTTTCTTTTTCGACTGCACGTACGAGATCCTCAGGCCCCTGGCGGGGCGTTTTTACCACACCGGCGTCCCCGGCCTTCCAGCTTGCACGGCCCCACCGCTGGCTGGCGAAGGGAGAGGCAAGCACGAAGCAGAGAGGAGCGCATGGAGGGGGTCGGCGCATGTGGCGCAAGCCTGTAGAATCCACGTCCAGAGGTGACGTGTTGCGGGAGGCAGGTCTGCGGAGGCGATAATGCAACGTATCCAATGTATCCCATGACTGCACAATTGCTGCATATTGCACTGTGTTACATTATTATGTATCCCCCCCTAACCCCCCCGAGGCCATGCCACTTCCACCGACCCAAGATGGCCCCTCCCCTCCTGGGCCTAAAAGCTTACCAAAACCTATAGGGAATCAATGAGTTGGGCCTGTTGGCCCTCTTGGGGGCCCAACAGGGCCTCAAGACGGCTCGAGATGGCCCTAATACAGCCGAAGACGGCCCCATGACGGCCCAAGATGGCCCCAAGAGGGACCAAGGCACCCGTGGAATTGTGTACAAGTGGCGCGTTGCCGCTACGATCTTCGGTACTTATGTGAGCCTGGCGTTGCCTTGTGCTGCCACGCGGTGGATGCCCATTGCCCTCGTGCTCGTGGACAATCGAACGCTCGTCCCGGCGCTGAAACGGGGGGGGGCGCATCCGCCCCCCGTGGCACTGGCAGCGCCCCAGGGCGGGCAGAACGACACAGACAGAGCTCCTCGGCGGACAAGCAGGGCAAACCACCCAGCGCCCAGCCTGCACGTGCTCTGGACGCGCACCCCGCGAAGCGAAGCGAGGGTGTTGCCAGAGGCGGGTCCGCAGACGCTGTCACCGAACGTATCCGCCTCCCGTGGCACTGGCAGCTCCCCGGGGCGCGCAGAACGACGCGGCAGAGCTTCGTGGCAGACGAGCGGGGCAGACCACCCAGCGCCCAGTCTCCACCCGCTCCAGAGGTGCCCCCCCCCCCGCGAAGCGAGAGGAATCTCCTCTGTGGGGCTGAGCCTCCGGGTGAACCAGCAGGTACCGATACCTACGCTACTCCGCAGACCTCTCACAGGGTGTGTTCTGGCCAGGATCTTGAGGCGAACCCAGCGGTGGCGACGAGGGCCGCCCAGGAGGCCGAAAAGGAGAAATCGAGGGGAGGGTAGCGGTATGGGGTACCTTGAGCCTCCGCTTGCTCCGGACGTGCGCTCACCCGCGAAGCGAGAGGGATCTCCTCTGTGGGGCTGAACTTCTTTCGGAAAAAAGCATCATATAAACTTTTGACGGTCCTCGCAGATTCTTAGATCTGCGCTGAACCCCCCTCCCTGGCGAGCGAAGCGCGCCAAGGGCGGCGCCGGAGGCGCCGCCAGGGGGGGGCCCGGCGCCGATGCAAGAAATCCGCGCGGAGCGTCGAAAGTTCATGTTCATGCCGTTGTTCCCCCTTCGAACCTTACCTCTGACTACCTACCAGGCCACCCCAACCCAACCCGAGGACCCAAATTTCGGGTGGGGTGGGGGGCGTACGGATTCCACATGTTTTTTGAGGTTCCCCGACGTCCCCCCCACTGGAAATGGAGGGCAGATCGGGGCCCTCGGGTTGGGTTGGGGTGGTCTGGTTGGCGTCGGGGCTGCACGGCATGCTCGTGTGTGCGCCGGTGTGGGAGAGGACGGAGGAGGGAGGAGAAAGAAGTCCTTCCAGGGGAGAGGATGGAGGAGGGTGTGCTCGTGTGCGTCGCGAAGCGAGAGGGATCTCCTCTATGGGGCTGAACCTCGGCGTCGGGGCCGGGGCGCCGTGCAGGTGGGTCTCCAGCTCCCTCGCGAGGCGCCGCCGGGAAGGCATCCGCAAGCCCCAGGCTGCGGCAACCCCCTGCCCTGGCTGTGCCCTTCGGGGGAAGAAGCGCGGGGGCCATGGCCAAGATGTCGCGGGGTCCTGTCGATGCCGCTCTTGGTCATGGTCCATGTTGGCCATGGCCGATTCTCGAGGCTGCTCCACGATGTAACGCTGACCACGATGGACAGTGACCAAGATTGACACGACGTTTTCGCGTTCAGTCTTGGTCATGGTCCCCGTTTTCTTCCTCTCCAGCCCTCCCGCCCCCCGGGGGGGAGGGGCGGGCAGACATCCGCACGCCTGCTACACTCCTTGCGAGGCCCTGGAGATCCCAGTGTAAGACGAAGCCAGGACGAGGATAAATTCGCCTTCTCCTCCTCCTCCTCCTCCTCCTCCTCCTCCCTCCTCCTCCTCCTCCTCCTCCTCCTCCTCCTCCTCCTCCTCCTCCTCCTCCTCCTCCTCCTCCTCCTCCTCCTCCTCCTCCTCCTCCTCCTCCTCCTCCTCCTCCTCCTCCTCCTCCTCCTCCTCCTCCTCCTCCTCCTCCTCCTCCTCCTCCTCCTCTCCTCCTCCTCCTCCTCCTCCCCTCCTCCTCCTCCTCCTCCTCCTCCTCCTCCTCCTCTCCTCCTCCTCCTCCTCCTCCTCCTCCTCCTCCTCCTCCTCCTCCTCCTCCTCCTCCTCCTCCTCCTCCTCCTCCTTCTCCTCCTCCTGATCCTCCTCCTCCTCCTGCTCCTCCTCGTCCTCCTCCTCCTCCTCCTCCTCCTCCTCCCTCCTCCTCCTCCTCCTCCTCCTCCTCCTCCTCCTCCTCCTCCTCCTCGTCCTCCTCCTCCGCCTCCTCTAAGACGAAGCCAGGACGAGGATACAATCTGGCGGGGATAGATCGAGATCGGAGGCCTGGGAATGAGCACTAACACCAGCACAGGGGTTTTCCACCGCCTGGGCAAGACGATCCTGGATGTGGGTGCTGGTGGTAACCCTTCGGCCACCCAGGCAGCCCCACTAGTACCACCATCTCCGAGACTGGACTCATCTTCCCTCGGTGGAGGCACGCCGCCGATATTGGTGATGGTCTCAACCCCTAGGTCTCCGACGAGCGTCTCTGATATCCGGCGGCTATGGAAGATGCCTCGGGCACCGCGGCCTTCTCAGAGCGTTGCGGAACGCTCTGAGAGCGTTCCGGAACGCTCTGGAACGGACTTGTCCTCATCCCAGCCCCGCCCGACGGGGCACGGCTCCGCGGCAGTGGGCGCGGATACGAATCCGGCGGTGGGCCTCGCGATGTCGGCCTCCACCCGCTGGAAGCCCTCCTCGTCCAGCAGCCAGGCCCGCCCGGTCTGCCTGTCCGCCGTGGGCAGCTCGGTGAACCACAGGGTGCGCCCGATGCGGTCCATGTCGTCCCTGTCGCGGTGGCCGTTCGGCCCGGGGCTGGTGCCCTCCGCGTCGAGGTAGTCGAACATCTGCACCTGCCGCTGGAAGCGCTGCAGGAACGCCAGGGCCACCCCGCCGTTGACGACGGTCATGATGCACATCATCGCGCACTGGAAGATGTCGCGCATCGGGAGGTCCAGCTCCTGGTGGATCTGCTGGCCCCTCCTCCTCCTCCTCCTCCTCCTTCTCCTCCTCCCCCTCCTCCTCGGCTTTGCAGGATCCTGCGGGATCCCGCGCGCTGGCCCAGGCCAGTGCAGCTCTGACTCTGCGGGATCCTGCCAGATTTCGGCGCTCTGGCCGACCCCCGTTCGCACTGCCCCCGTCGCCATCGGCGACGAGCGAGAGGGAGGGAGTGAGAGGGAGACGGCCCTTTCAGAAGGCGGCGGGACTGCTCAGAAGCCCTCGCACCTTCCGAGAAGTCGTCTGCGTCTTCGGGGAAGGCCAGAGGACTTCCAAGCCTTCTCTGAAGGCCCGCCCCTTCTCACTTCCCCCCCGAGCTCGCCGCTGATCAAGGCTCCCGGTCCTCGCACAGTAGACTGCACCCAGCGCCGCCGTCGTGGTGGTTGACCCTGCCCGTTGCATGGAGGGAGGGCTGCGCGCAGATGTCGGAGGAGTGCTCCGGGAGCCTGGCGGCGGAGAAGTTGCCCGTGATCGGCAGATTGAGCTCCACCTGTCGGCGACAAGCGAGGGGGGGGAGTGAGAATGCGAAGTTCCTCTCGGAAGGCGGCGGAACTTCTCAGAAGCCCGCTGGCCTTCTGAGGGGCTTTCGGCTTCCTCGGGGAGGCTTGGAAGACTTCTCAGAGGGCCGCGGGGGGAAGTCCGAGCCTTCTGAGAAAGCCCGCACGCTCTCACTTCCCCCGGGCTCGCCGCCGAACGTGGGCGACGATCAGAAATGGAGCGTGCGCGAGGTGACACGGCGACCCCACGCGGTGGCTTACAGTCGGGGCGTTGACCGAAGGAACCCTGAATAAGGAACGAGGCCCCTCTTTCCCTTGAGCTAAACTTCCATTTCCCATTGAAAACCTTAGGAAAAGCTGAGGAAAACTGTAAGCGCGGGCAGCTCACGCGCGAATGCCGGCGCAGACGAGCCCGAAGCTCTGCGCCGCTCACCTGGAAGTCGGACAGCCTGAAGTACGGCACCAGCATGGCCGCGGAGACCGCGGTCAGGGTCAGGCACATGTCCCGGCAGGTCCGCAGGAAGAGGATGTAGGCCTTCTCCGTGATGCTCTCCAGCGGCCTGGGCTTGTCGTCAAAGCTCCCCTGGCCCCTGAGCGCCCACCACACGAGGAGCCCGACGACCAGCACCGCCACGTCGAAGAGCAGCGTGAAGACCGCGGTCACCAGCGAGCTGGCCATCGCCCGGCGCCGGCGCCAACCCCCCCCCTCGGCTGGAGGGGCCGCCCCCGCAGGAGCTCCCCCCCGCCCCTGGTCTTGAGCCAAGGTCGGAAGCGCATGCCTGGGGGTCGGAGGTGCAGGCTCCGCGAAGCGCCCCGGCATGAGAGATACATGTGGCTGGCTCTGGAAGCCCCGAACCCAAAAATGTTTTCATCTCCTGAAAGCACATCTTTTGCTTCCGCCGCCTTCCGCCAGCCTTCCGCCGGCTAGCGCCGGCTTCCACCGGCGGGGGCGGCCTCGTTTTACTTCCATCGACCTTCCGCCGCCCTTCCGCCGCCTTCCGCCGCCTTCCGCCGAGGAAGAGATGACAAATCCTTCGATCCTCGAAGGCAAGGCATTTTTCCTAACGCACCACGTGTACGGCAACTCCCTGGAGACCTCCGCAGACACGATTGGGGACGATCACGCCCGATTCGGGGGGCCACTGGGCTACGGGGCCGAACAGAACAGCGACCAAAGCTACTCAAGGAGGAGGTGGAGGGGGAGGAGGAGGGGAAAGGTAGAGGGGGAGGGGGAGGGGCAGCAGGAGGGAGAGGGGGAGGAGGAGGAGCAGGAGGAGGAGGAGGAGGAGGAGGAGGAAGAGGAGGAGGAGGAGGACGAGAAGGAGGAGGAGCAGGAGGAGGAGAACGAGGAGGAGGAGGAAAAGGAGAAGGAGCAGGAGGAGGAGGAGGAGGAGGTGGAGGAGCTGCCTCCTGCGGTCCCCCCCTCCACAAGGCCGTGCACGACGCCGCCACAACCAAAAGAACCGACCGAACCGACGGCGAAACCGAGACCGACCGAAGCCAGGCCGCAAGCACCCTAGCAGGGCGAAGCGACGCGGCAACGACACAGCATGCTATCCGAACGAACCGCAGCGAACCGACCGAAAGCAACCGAATGCGACGCAGCCGACCCGGCCGAAACGCGAACACCCCTAGGCCCCCCCCATCCCCCGCGAACGCTGAGACGGTGAGAAAGCGCAGGCCCTGACCTCTTCGGGGGCGTCCACGAGAAGGGCGTTCACCCGCGCCGCCGCACGCCAGGGAAAATCCGCGCGCGCGCGGCAGCCCCGACCCCACCGAGGGGCCTCCGGGGGCCCTCGCGCGAGGCGCGCGCACGCGCGCGTGGGGGGGGGAAGAGCAGGGTGCGCCTGGCGTGGCGCTCTGCGTCCCAGTCGGCGGCGCCGGATGCTCGCAAGGCGCGGGGCGGGGCGGGCATCGCTGGGCAGGGGAGACCCAGAGACCCAACGTGTTGGGAAAATCAAGACGGAGGTGTTGCGTCGTTTTCGGCCCATGGAGGCCCTCGCCAGACCCTGGGGCCGCAAAACAAAAAACAGCACACGATGAAAAACTGGCCCCGGGGAACGGGTCGAGCCTTCCGGGGACCCCGCATGAAAATAACCAAGACATCGGATCTCTGAGGAGGTACGAGGCAAGTATTGGGTGGTGGTATTGGGCACTCTGGATGGGACATGAATCGCCCCGGGATCCGCGGAGGGAGGGGGGGGCACGTGCTGTTGGAACGGGTGGAGAGGGGGCTGAAGGAGGAGGAGGAAGAACTGGAATTGCGTGTGTTAGAAATGAAAGGTAGGAGGAAGAGGAGGAGAAGGAGGAGGAGGAGGAGGAAGAAGAGAAGGAGGAAGAGGAGGAGGAGGAGGAGGAGGAGGAGGAGGAGGAGAAGAAGAGGAGGAGTTATTCAAAAGGAGAAGAAATGGAGGAGGAGGAGGAGGAGGAGGAGGCGGCGGCGGCGGCGGTGGGTAAGGAGGGAGGGAGGGAAGGAGGGGGAGGAGAGGGAGGAAAGCGGGGAGGAGAGGCGCATGTGAAGCAAGTATTGGATGAGACCAGAAGGAGGAGGAAGAGGAGGAGGAGGAAGGGCAGGAGGAGGGAGGAGGAGGAGAAGGAGGAGGAGGAGGATGAGAAGGAGGAGGAGGAGGAGAAGGAGGGGGAGGAGGAGAAGGAGGAGGAGGAGGGGAGGAGGAGGCGGCGGCGGGTGAGGAGGGAGGGAAGGAATAAGGGGGAGGAGGAGGACAGTGGGGAGGAGGGGCGCGAGGAAGAGGACGCAAGCTAGGAAGAGGGGCGTCTTCTTGCGCCACCTACCTCACTCCTTCTCCTACTCCTCCAAAGCTGAACGAGCCAAGCGGGCCGCGTGGGGCAAACCCGTCTAAATTTGCTGTTTAGGGTTCTTTGTGTAACCAACATAGTGGGATTATCCGTAACTCCTCCTCCTCCTCCTCCTTCTCCTCCTCCTCCTATTCCACCTCATCCTCGTCTTCTTTTCCTTTGTATTATTACGAGTGATGTTAGTATGATTCGTTCTAGTATGACGCTTATTCACATTATTATCACTATTGGTAAGATGTGTTATTATTATTAGTCGTATTAGTAGTGCTATTATTCGCCTTGGTATTATTCTTAACTTTCTTAATACTATGATTGTTATGTTTCGTCGTGTTGCTCTTTTTAGTACTATCATTCGTCTTAGTCTTCGTACCAGCATTATTATCAGTATTACTAATGTTCGTCTTATTTCAGTAGTACTATTCTTAATAGTATTAATGTTATTATTCGTCGTAGTAGTATTATTCCTCCTCCTCCTCATCATCATCCGCCTCCGCCTCCTCCTCCTCCTCATCCCCCTCCGCCTCCTGCTTTTCCTCATCCTCATCCTCATCCCTCCCTCTCCCTCCATCCTTCCCTCCCTCCTGCCCCCTCCCCTTCGGGAGCGCACGCGGGGACAAGAATTAGACGAGGTGCGCTGGGTACAACTGCTTCGTGTCGTGCCGACGTGGGCGTCGGTTTGGACGCCGCGCACATCGTTCCTATCTTCAGCGACCTCCGCTTCTCGACGGCGGGGATCTTTTTCAAGGTTGGCCTGGCTCAAGCTGGAATGGGCCTTCAGCCTTCAGCGCCCGCGCCAGCGTCGCCGCCGCGGCGACGCTGCAGAGGCCTGCCATGAGTTTGCGGGATGGCGCCGACGGCGCTCCGAGCACAGATCCTGGGCCCAGTGCTGGGCTGGACGCCCGGCCTCCGATCACGAGGTGGGGCAGGGCCCTCGGGGTGCGGGGTGGACGTGTGCGGGCACTCGCCGGCTTGTCCGAGGACGCGAAGGACGAGGAGGAGGGGAGGACGAAAGTGACAGTGAGGATGCGGACGGACGTGGCGGGTTCAGCATCTAGCGCTTCGCACAGCAACGGCAGGATGAGGGGGCGGAGCCCAAGAAGGACGACGACGAGGACGAGGTCCTCCTCTTGCTCCTCTTCGTCGTCGTCCCCGTCTCCTCGTAATCCCACCAGCCCTCTGGCCGTAGGTGGTCTAGAGAGGCTCCTCTTGCAACTCCTTCTTCCCCTTCAGGGAGGGTTTATCACTGTTCCCTATACACCCGCTTCCCCAGGCGACCGGCAGCCAACCAGGAACAATGAGGACCCCATAAGGGCCCCCCCACACCATCCCTGCCAAAAAGACAATACATGATACACTTTGGGGCAAAGTCTGGAGTCACGTTCGTGAGGCCCGCGAACATTTGTATTGTTTGTTGACAGGGACGGCGAGGGTGTCAGCGTATTGCCTGCTGCGCGCAAGGCTACCATCCCTGACAAAAAACGCACAAAATTCACCTCGCGGCGAAATCTGGATCATGCGCGGCCACCCCGCGATCACTATGAAGTGGTGGCGCTGGCCTGCTGTGCGCAGGCCCACCAGGCACAATGATGGGCATTGGCTTTCGACATGGAGTGTGAGGCCTACATGTTCCCCGATGTCCGCTGTCACGTGCGCAGGCGCACCTGACACACTCTCCACGTGCCCCGAACGTGGCGCACTTGGCGCGGCTGGAGTATGCGGCACACCTGGCGCACGCGGAGGCACGTGGCGCATTTGGCGCACCAGGCGTGCCTGGCACGCTCGGGCCCCAGGGGTGCCTGACGCGCGTGGCGCGCCTGGCACGCGTGGCGCACCTCGCCCCAGCGTCGCGCACATGGGCTCGGTTTTGGTTCCCAGTAGCTGTCCATCCGAAGACGACTGCTGAACATGCTGAGGCCCGGGTGTTATTCATGTGTTGGGATGACGGTTTGCTATCTAGGGGGCGTCTTGATCACTGCTCCCTATTAATAAACACCCCCTCCCCCAGGCGACTGGGGGCCAACCAGGGTCCATGCCCCCCCCCCCCACCATCCCTCGTAAAAACAATACAAAACACACTCTGCCTCCAAATTCGGAACATGCGCAGCCAACCCGATGCGGCCCCCCCCCCACCATCCTGTCAAAAAACAATACAGAGTACACTTGGCGGCGGCGGCGGCTGCGGCGGCTGCGGCGGCGGCGGCAGCTGCGGCGGGGGCGGCGGCGGCGGCGGCGGCCGGCGGCGGCGGCGGCGGCGGCGGTGCGGCGGCGGCGGCGGCGGCGGCGGCAAACGGGGGGCGGCGGCAACGGCGGTGGCGGAGGCGGCGGCGGCGGCGGCGGCGGGCAGCGGCGGCGGCGGTGGCGGCGGCGGCGGCGGCGGCGGAGGCGGCGGCGGATTGGCACCCAGTAGCTGCCCATCCAAAGACGACTGCTGAATATGCTGAGGCTCGGGCCAGACTCGGGTGCTACGTATGTGTTGGGAGGGCGGGTGGGAGTGAGCGAGACGGCTTGCGGGCGGGGAGGGTGTCTTGACCACTCCCCCTACCCCATCCCTTGGACCTGGACGGGGCGCCCCGTGAGCGGTCAGAGCATCTAAGTTGACCCAAGACGGCTCCAAGAGGGCCTCAGAGAGCCCAAGATGACCTCCAACATGGCACAAGATAGCCCAAGATGCCTCAAGATGGCTCCCAAAATGCTCCAAGAGACCCCAAGACCGTTCCAAGACGGTTCCAAATGGCCACGGAGCGTCTCACGGAGGCCGCCAAGCGGCCAAAACCTTTCAAAAACCAAATGAAAATAAATGAAGTGTGCCGTCTCGCCTTTTTGCTTTCGATGGCCTTCCGAGGCCTCAAGACAGTTCCAAGA